TCTCTCTCTCTCTCTCTCTCTCTCTCTCTCTCTCTCTCTCTCTCTCTCTCTCTTATGCCTTTTTCTTCTCTCTTGTGTAAAAGAATCTTATTTCGTTGAAAATCTCTTGAGAACAAGATATACAAAATCAAGTGACCCAACTTTAAGGAGAAAAAGAGTCACGTGTGTGTGTAATTTAAAATTGAGAAAAATAAAAGAAGAAAACGAATCATTGATTTATGACAGATGACACAAAATCTTAAACACGAAAACTTGTGTTTTAACGACCTTAACATTTCCTACATTGGAATGTAGATATCTGCGGGGCAACAAGGTCTCTCTTTACGATACTGGAAGCAGCTACTGTAGTAAATTCCTTTCGTCCCCTTTCCGGAATGTGTACCTTTGTAGTTACAACACGCGGAGCGGAGAGTCTTTGTCGCACGAAGAGACTATATGTGCTTGCGTTTCGTAATTGATGGATATATATCTCGGAACTACGAATTTAACTATTTACTGAGTTACTCTAATTTAACGTAAATCTACGTGGATTTCTTTCTACTTCCTTCCTACCCCCTCACCGTCAATCTTGTTCTATCTCGTTCTCTCTCTCTCTCTCTCTCTCCTAAAAATGTATATTTGCTAATTAATTTGCTTTGGGTTATTAATATAACAAATGTACCTGGATATCAGAATGTACATATTACTTAAGATAACGCAACAAAACCATGTGAGATATGAGAAAAATGAAAGATTTTCGTGCACAAACCGTTCTATAAATCTGTTTACGCGATATATCGTTGTACCTCCCGTTTAAATATTTTTTACCAACGTTTAAATATTTTTTACGTTACTGACATACATTGCTCCAATAAATAAATTTTTTGAATAAATAGTCCCCATCTCAAAATTTGGTTCTTAACCGTACATTTTTTCACAATAGCCTACCTCGCTTCTTATCGCAGTTGGTAAGGTGTGTGTCAGTTTCCTGAATCTTTACCGATTCGCTTTGCTAACGTTAAGTTTTACTGCGTCGATGGTATATCGACACACAGAGCATATCGCTCTCCGAAAGATGTCACATATAGTCATTTTTTGCAAACGAATAATCATATTTAGAAATAAAAAAATTAGGCTAAATAATAATTTATAAATCTTAATTATTTATCCGTAATCCATATTTCTCGGATACTATATAGAAAACAGAAGTGTTTCTGGTTATATATACAGCACTTGATGCCATTTGTTTCTTTTATATTACTAGTTTAATAAAAAATCTATGAATTTTTAATAAATACGACTTCTTTTTCATTGATAACTAATCACACAATCGATATTATCTAAAATAAAAAAAATATACATACCCTATATATGTACAGGTTTATCCCAATATCATACATATTGAGGTAACATATGTGTAGATTGAAATTTCTTTATAAATCGAATTTAATTTGATAAATCTCAATATAAATATATATTATATAATAGATATATAATAAAAATTCCCTCTCTATTTCTCTCTCTCTCTCTCTCTCTCTCTCTCTCAAAGTATTTGAATAAACTTGATTAAATTAATTTTAAGTCGTATTAAATATTGTTTCACACGTTAATCCATTTCCCCAATATTAATATCGTTCACTCATGATAGATAAGTTCGAAACAGCTTTTGAGAAGGTGACAAGACATTTAAATTATGCAGATCTAGCAGATTTATCGATATAGCACACGCGTTCCACTCGATTGATTGCATCGTGATTACATTATTTGCTACGTTAGCAAATTATTACATCATAAAAATGAAAGAAAAAAACTTTCTGACGATTCTGTATCTCTAAAGATTACAAGAGTAATCTGCACAATCTCCAGAGAAGACCTAATAAGTGAATTGGAGACGGAGAAGAACTTACGAAACCAAACTGTGCACAGAGAAAATTGAGTCGCGGCTAGATATTTGCACACGACCAATGCATGTCGAATCGAGCTTTCGGCAGCGTGGGGTTGTCGACGAAGTGGTATCCCTACCTTTCTCCCATCATTTATAAAGTTCAGCTCGTATTTACTGTTGGTTCAGTTGTTACCGTCGACACGTGCCGGAATACTATCTGATTATCGCGAAAACAGAGTACGAAATTAAATATTCTCCGTGTCACGATCAAGAATTGGAACCGATATGATCTGGGTAAGTTACCCATCAAATATTTTTAGTCGTGCCAAAACAATGACCTTGGCAGTTATATATTAATTCTTGCAAGTAAAAAAAGCTTTTTTCAAATTTCTACAGATCTCTGTATCTATATGAGGTTGGACTAAAAAATTCAGTGGCATCGCGTTGTACAATGTTTCGTTGTCCGATTTTTGTAACGCTTTCCACAAATACACGGCTACTTGACAATTACTCAGCACGAATGAAATTAATAAAAATATACATACCATTCGATGTTTTCACAAGATACCAAGACTCAAGTGCATCATCTGCCTTTTGCCCAATGTTGTCAAGCTGAAAACAAAAAAAAATCAGACTCGTTATTCTTGCCACAGTATTCTGTTAAAATTTGCATTCGATAAATTAAAAATTTCAATACTAAAAAAGAAACACAAAAGAATTCTCTTTGTCAAGCTACCAAAGTTCCGCAGAAAACACCCTTGACTGCGCTTGTTTTATGATCCTAACCGGAATTCCCTCAATCGGAAACGTGTAGCTAAAGTACTCAAAGTGGTTAAATGCGTGATCTAGTAATTGATTTTGCCTTTTACTACGAACAGCGTGTATATTGTCGGAATACCTAATCGATTATCAACCGAATCACGCAAATCTCCATATATGACATATACACAAGGTAAATCTTTGTTGAGCAATTTAATCGTTGATTCCAAAGCCAATAGAATTGCGGAAGTACGTCCGAAACGTTAACTTTATTCGCGCGTCATAGTCGCTTTATTTTCATCCGTTACTTTTGTCGTCACATTTCTATATCGCACGATACGATCTTTTCTTGTATCTACAGTTATATTCCATGCATCAAGCTATGACTATACATTGTGATGATATATTATGCAACAAAATATATCCTCTTGATTAAGAAATCAGTGAGAAAATAAATCGTTCGAGTTTCTGCGAAGAAAACTATAATTAGCATTAATTAACACATTTTAACACGCGATACAAGTATACATTTTCCAATATAATTCAGCGTGACTTGTTATTAAGCGCTTTAACATGCGCGTAACGTGCGCGTTTCGCTCGTGAATTTGAAGGAAGCCGAGGCGAAAAAAGAAGAAAAACGATATCGCGCGAGTGGACGTTGCATTGCGCGAAAAATCGCGGTCGAATCGACAGCGCTTTGTTAATTCGTAGCCGGCAGTAAAAATCAGACGACCTTCGACTGTGGGGTACAAACTGCCGCGGATTGTGCAAGTTTGTTGCCAATAAAGGGGAAAGCTGGACGCGGGACCTTCCCGCGCGTACCTTCTCTCAGCGCGAAGGTTATCGCTGCAACCGGAAGGTGCAAATGTTGAGTCCGGATGAACGTTTACACCCGAATGTCGACGCGATTAAACGGATCGTCGATCCCGCCTGATGTATGCAAAGTTGATGTCTGGCGCGCGAGAGCGTGTTATCGTCTCGGGGGTTGGATGTATTAATTACGCATGAGGCCCGATATCGAGTATTTCGTCGCTGATGCGAGACCGAACTTCGACGTAACGCGGAATATGCCGAAGATTACGCTCGCCGAGATTACGTCTTAACGGAAATTTCATGCAGAACTTAATCGCAAGCGTGTCGAATATCGAAACACAAAGAGTCACGGCTGAGACGACGAGGTGGACTTGCTTCGAATTCGTCGCTGATGAACAATCGATCCAAGGTGTCGCAAGTGTGTCGAGAAATCCAAATAAGGTTGCATTTCAAAACATCCTTTCCGAGGAAAATTTTACTCTTAAGTCTATAGTAACATGAACTATAGATTTAAGAGTAAAATCGAAAAAAATGTTTTGGAATGCAATCTAGATTGAGGAGATTTTGCTCGGCGAACTCCGAAATATACGAGAAGGCCCTGTGTAAAAATCATCGAGAGAGAGAAGAACACTACTAATCTAACACAACCGAGTTTACTTATCTGGGCCAAAATTGTTGACGAGTAAAACACATGACGCGACAATGTCCTTCGTCGAAAACTATGTTAATTGCGTAGCGCGAGATAATCGAGTAACAAGAGACACGCGTAGTTCCCGCGTCGCTCTCTTTCACTTCTAATTTATATTGTTACGTTATTATTATTGTACTAATTGTAGCAAACTAATCTACCGGAGTGAGCAATTTACATGAAAAATTGTATGGCCGGTTGCGATTCGTAGAACCATGTGTCGAAGCAACGTGTAAATTCCGCTTCCTGTTGTCTTGACGCTCGATATTTCAAATTCCATCAGAAGCGCGAAAGCGGTGGTTGCGGTTTATTCCTCCTTGTTATTCTTACGGAACCATTCTTTATAGATGTCGAAACGTACATTTGCACGCGCGTAGAGGCGTGTTATTATGCGTATTGTAGCAAATGAGGGAGCGCTAAAATCCACGCGATGCAATCGCTAATGAAAACGTAAAATGGGCGAGTTTCTATTTACGCGACATACATCAAATAACGGCTCATTTTCCGCAGTGGGTTTGAATTTTTACGCAACTTTGTGTCGCGACTGATCGATCGAACAAATAAGCAAAACATCACCTAATAAGGGCGTACGTACAATAAAAGTAAGGAAAAGTACGTTATCCAACTTGACTTTTTGGAAACACGTGGAAATACAATCGATTTTCGGCCAAAGAGTTGACTTTAATATGTCGGCTAATCACAAATTTACAGATCAATGTCGATAGACTACAGTCAAACTAACAAAATCACATCGCGAAAAAAAAACGCGTTCGGCTAATTCACTAACTCTATTAATGTCCAAAGTGCGATCTCGACGATCACACGACCAAGTGGCGGATTGTGAGTTGGAGAGTGAGCGAGGATCGCGGTTAGATTTCCACGTATTAACGGGAAACTGTATTACTGTCGCTGCGCCGACGAGATAAATATCGTGGATCAGAAATATCGGAGCCAGAAAGTTTCTTCGCGAAGAGATACAATCACCTCTTCCTTATTCGAATTTATCACGGGCACTGAAATTTCTAATGCGATAACGCGAAAAAACGGAAATTTATATTCGCGATATTTCGCGCGTGAGCAATACGATTTTATCCGAGGAAAAACGCTCGATCGGAATATGTTATTTGCATCGATCGAGAAGAGATAAAAATAGTACCAAAGTAATTCGCCGCGACGGTACCATCTGTCTCACTGTGTCGCAAATTCGATTTTCCCTTTTTCAAACGTATCGTCAATTCATGGCGAAATATGCATTAAAGAACTGATCTAGCAAGAAGGATAACGTATAAGAGCAATTGGCACGTGTGACTCGCGAGATAGTTTCCGTCATGATCGTTTGATCGTCTGATGTCTATGTGACATTAACATTCGATAAACTCCATGACATTTCTCTGCAACTAATCTAGAAATATAATTTAATTAAGGCGACATTATCAATAATGGCGCTTCATTTGCGTTCGCAATAAATTGTGTGTCGTCCTCTCGCACTCATTTCGCTGAAATTTCCTTAAAGTAAGTCAGATCGCGTGTCAATAGACGATTCGCGTTAAAATCCGTGCGAATTAAACGTGTCTTTGTGTTCTCTTTTCAAGGATATGCAGAGACAGAATATTTTCTGGACTGCAGGTCTCCTCGTCGCGGTGTTCTTACAGACAATAGCAGCCGTCAAAGATGCCACGACAAAAGGACAGACTTCTAAATTATTCCTAGGTGAGAGTAAACCTTTCTTCCCTTTCTCAAATACACAAATTGCGTGCAAATTGTGCAAAAATGTAATGCTCTTACATTTCCTATTATGTGTAAAAAACACATGTGTCATATGAATATGTATGACCGATTATAATACGTTGCGATTCCGTATGACCAGTTGGAAACAATCAGCTTCGCAGTCTTACGCGCTCTGTCATTTTGTCGAAACTTTCAAAAACTCATTAACAACACGCTTACATTGACTTTAAAACTGCAAAAGTTTCCGAACACAGGATTCTTTCTGACGCCAGCCCGCACAATCTATACTTTAGGCACGCATCGTTTTCCCCAGAAGCATTTGAACGTTCTTTTTTTATGCAGTGATTTCTCTCCCGCCCAAATTACATTCTCTATATCTGACGGAAGAAAGATGACCGTAAAAATTAACAATTACATCACACGGAGGACTTGAAAAACGATTATTTTGTTGACATAAATTTGTCAATTCCCTTTTCGTCCCCTAATCAGTTTTCGGATCAATAATTTGTTAGAACGGAATGAACTCAAGAAGTGCGAAATTGTTCGCTGTAATATCAACGCAGATTGCATTTTATGATTAATTAATTGCGTATACAGCGCATCATGATACACGTTTTTCGCGTCTTGGACTCGGAGATATTTGGTGGTTTGTCAATATATCCGCGTTCGTTATCCTTTACGTAAGTTTACGAGGGAAACGTAGCAGAGCGATCTGTTTCTACCTTCAAATATCCCTACTTTCTCTAATAGCAGTAACAGGATTGATAAACGGGAGACATGACAGAGCGTGGAGAAGGAGAAATTCTATAGACCCGCCGCCGCGTGTATATACAGCACGTTCCTTATGCAACAGGTGGGAGTTAATAGCAAGAAATGAGATAGAAAATGCGTGTGCGCGCTGCTGGAATGCATGTTACATTTTCGCGAGAAGTGCACCACAGCAATGCAAAGAGCGTACCACGAGCGCTCGAGGGTTCTCCTTTGTCTTATTGACGGCGAAACTGTTTAACCGTGAAATGTATACACTTGCATATTACACGTGCCAATTTATCGTGAGAAATATCATTCGCGTATAATCGAACCGCTCTCCTATGACAACTTCATGTTGATATTAATAACAGATAAAGAGATTGCTACTAACGCAAATTTTCTGCTTCGATATTATGGATCGTACATCTTTGTGTAACGTGGGCTATAATATTAAAATACACCCGTAACAATCATTCAGGCATGAGGAATTAAAAAGCTTCTATCTTTTTTGCATTTATCGATTCGTGATATTCAGGTGTCCCGAGCAATTACCAAGTCATGCCGACGTGAGCTTGTCACTGTTGTAACATTTAAACATCGAACTGAATGTTGCGAAACATTCTTCTCTTTACTCTCGGTGTTTCGCGCAATCGCGTATAAATCGCGATTAGTTACGCTACCGATCCACCCTAGCGATCATCTACTGCGGTCTGATAAATCGACGCGCGAAAGAATTCAGTTTAATTCAATAATCTCAGGTGGGCGATTCGACAAAGATGTCTATTAATTCTATAAGCTCTCTAACGAACTTATCGAGGCGATCGTATCTATCGTCTGTGTAACATTTAACGTTCGACTGCAAGCAGTGAAAGGTTCTCCCTCGCGCATGAATCTGTTTAAATCACGAGTCTACCGAGATTTATGTACCAATGGTTCGATCGTCTCGACGGCGATTGTTGCCGGATCTGATGGCAAAATACGATACAAAATGCGAAAGGAGATCTCGCCGACAATCAGACGCGGTATATCGATACAAAGTTGTCTTTCTACGTGAGATAGATATCGCCTAACGTAAATAAAATATTCGATCGTTCGACGTGGGAAAGTTGTAATCACAGCAAAGTATCGTGCTTCTGGTGAATGCTAACAGCGAGAAGCTAAAGAGACGATCATAGAAGAATAAGATTATTGAAAGTAAACACCGGGAAATATCGCGCGACTTTGTCGCGGTCATCAAAGTGTATTAAGTATATAAAGTATGTATTAAGATGTCATTTACGATCATCCGTGTAATATTCTGGCAATGTTTCTTTCAAGAGGAGCGAGGAAAGGAACTTCTGGATGAATCGGAAGCTACATACTACGGACCGTACACGCCTCAATTATTCAGTACCGACTACCGTTCTATTTATCAGCAGTCAAACTTTCCAGATCCCACGTAAGTTTTACGTCACATTTTTTAGATGCCCTTTTGGTAATGAGATCATTTCGCCTACTTTCAATTCGTCGTTCAAGCTTCTTCTTCGGCTCTGGTCAAAACACGAGCGACGATGTTCATCGGCAAATCAAGTGCGGCGATACTTTTCCCCAAGTCTGTCGGTACTCGCGATATCGAAGCTACGATGGTAGCTGCAATAATCTTCAAAATCCCACATGGGGTCTGGCCAATACAAGATACGGAAGACTCATACGTCCACGCTACAGCGATGGTAAGCAAAGGAAATTTTAGAGAAAGCTCTAGAATAAGCATCAAACAAGATTACCTAAAAAAGAAGCAAGTTTTTAATGAGAAGTTTTGTCAAATCGTTAACTAGTTAACGATTTTGTCGAAAATAATTTCAACGACCGCGTGAAAAAGAAGCTCTCTACATCCTAGAGGCAGTAAGAACTGCAGGAAAAAGAACGGTACTACAATCTTAGGCAATTCGTAGAACTTTCAGACGATGGTAAGAGAAGGTTTCAGAGCCAGCCTCGTGACACTAGATTGTATCGATTCCGTCTCGTCATGCTGACGGTCGACGGTTTATATGCTGTTACGGTCGACTTGGTATAAGCGGTGCGCAGGTGGCCTCTAAGCGCGGGAAACATTTCGACGCTTACTCATTCACGATTTTTGCTACCTCGCATCAAAGCGGACAAATGTAACACATCCGGTATATATCAATTCGGAACATATATATCCCGACAAAAATATCCGATTATGCACGTTGAGATCTTTTATTTTTCAAGATATATTGAATTAATTTTTGATTAATCTATAAACGTGACGAGATAAATTTTTGTTGTATACATACATCCAGTTCGATCTTTGAGTCACTTTTGAAGACTAACGTGCGATTTGAGAACTAATCTGATTATATAATGCGAAATCCATTTGCGATGATATTTTGTAATATAAAAATCGGGATAAACATATATTAATTGCGTAAACATCGAGTTCGAAGTGGGTTTCGATTAATATCGCGGTTTTTTCGAAAGTTTATTTAATTATATAATGCAAAATTAAATTGCAACGATATTTCTCACATAAGATGTATGTATATTATACGCAGATTTTTAACGTTCGATCAATTAAACAATAAAAATCAGTCAGTTATAGCAATGTTCTTGGGAGAAATTTTTTATTGCTACCGCGTATTACGTTCTTTCTAGCGAACAATTACGATACATAATCACCGCGCGTACGGTCATTACTTCCCACAACAAATTTGTTTCAATTCCGGCATAAGTTTTCTCGACTGATTTCGTCATAATAAATTTTGACACGGGCGAGAACACGGTGAATAAATTTGACGCATTGAACCATGGCTTGGTAACTGGTACGTAAACTGGTTTATACATAGTTTTCCAATTTACCTACAAATATACGATATACGAGTACACTTACCTAGATTTTTATAAAAACGCGCGAGATTATGACATGTTTGTAACCACGAGAGAAACCGAGAATAACACATTTGGCATGGAAAAGCTTGACATTTTCAGACCCACAAAAATTTATCTCATGCAGGAATTCGAGCACCGTCGAAATCAGTTACCGGCGCGAATTTGCCGTCGGCTCGAACCGTCAGTTACATGATGTTTCCAAACCTCAATATCGACGACAGAACATGGAGTCTAGTGGCGATGCAGTACGGACAAGTTATAACGCATGACATGGGTCTGAACGACGGTGTAACTCAATCTAGTACGTTACAGATTCTCTCGCGTAAGATACATCGATGCGTTCGGTGCGTGTTCATAATTAGAAATTTCATCACAATATCCAACAAATGCATCATCTTCCTTTATCTTGCGTGTCTCGGTGAACGCGCGAACGCATCGGATGACGTTAACACGTTGACTGCCACGAACGTTACAGTCAACGAGTTACAGATAACGAGCCGATTCGGCATCTTGCGATACATATTTGTTACCGCAAATAGCAACTGAGCTCCGTTAACGTATTTCTCTTCTAATCGCAGCGGTACAGAAAATGCGGTGTTGCACCTCCGACGGTCAGATATCACCGGACATGACGACGAGACCCCGATGCTATCCGATACTCGTAACTGAGAAAGACCCGGTGTATAGCAGTTCTTCCATACGGTGCTTGAACTTTGTTCGTAGCATGACCGATTTTGATCGCGGCTGTTCGTCTCCACATACGCCGGCACAACAGGTTCCACCCTTACATCACGCTCATTTGCGTTATATCACGCGCGAATGTGGTAACTAGAGAACCGGAACGCGACGTTGAGAGATCAAACGGCATTGCGTGCCGTGCAATCGTGGACGCTGTGCGAACTTGACATTTATAAGGTTGACGCTATTCTTGGCCGCGTATATATCTTAGTCTACGCCCCAAGCAGATTTGATAATTTTTCATCACTCTGCAATCTCGCGTTCGGCTCTCTCCTGTCCTATCCTGATAGTTTTTGTACAAACCAAGAGAGATCGATAGATGAGCAAACGTGTTTGCCGCGATTATAACGCTCTTATCAAGATCTCTCCGTACATAGTGAGTACACACCGACTAAGTCTCAGTATTCCCTACGTTCGGCGATTGATGTAAATGACAGTTCTATTCGCAAGGCAAGTTTATTCGATCGGTAATAACAAGTACTGTTTCGCAGCTAAACACCGTCACTCACTATTTGGACCTTTCGCTCGTTTACGGCTCGAGCGACCAGGTTGCAACTAGTCTGCGAGCTGGTTTCGGTGGACGTTTAAATGTGGAACTGAAAAATACCAGGGAATTTCCACCACAGGTATCTAACAAATCCACCATATGCGAAACGATGTACGAACACGAGCCATGCTACGCTACCGGTGAGAACAAATGCGCACGATTGCACGAATATAGACACAACTGATCCACAATTTGACGAATCGAACGCAGCGAGAGGCATGACAATTCTAACTGGCATTTATTCCAGGTGATACGCGATCCAATCAAAACCCACAACTGGCGATTCTACACATCGTGTTGCTCCGAGAACATAATCGCGTCGCGGATTATTTGGCAAATTTAAATCCACACTGGACCGACGAAACGATATTTCAAGAAACGAGGCGAATTGTCATCGCCGAACATCAGAACATCGTATATTATGAGTGGACGCCGATTTTCTTAGGTGCTAATGTCGGACAAGATGTGTTACCGAGCTTTCTACATTTTTCGTATCACAGCTATTTACAGAACGGAATCGTATTTTTGTCTCTTTCTTTTCTTTTTTATCTTAGACGACGCGGATTTTCTACGTATTAGTAATCGCACGACTCAGACTATTATCTGAAAGACACTCGATATTGCAGGACGTGAACAAGTTTATCGAGACAAAATTATATACAACACTAACGGCTACGTGAATGATTACGATGAGACGGTTAATGGTAACGTGCTGAACGCACACTCTACCGCGGCCATTAGATATTTTCATAGCCTGGTCGCCGGTAATCTCAAGTAAGTGTATCTCTCGCTACTGCCTCTCGATCAACTCGTGCACCGTTTTTCAATCTTTCTCAACGCAATGTATTAAACACTTTAGGCACGTTTAAATTATGTGTCAGTTATATGCAAATTCACGAAACACGATACATTTGATTTCGCGCGTATTTCTCAACTTTATCACTTCAACTTTGAAATTGATCTCTTTTCGCGCGCGCGAGGTAGCCGCGAACGATAATACTGTCAGTGATATTTTTCGTAGTGACATCTACATTATTTAAATTGCAATTGACCATATGAACACGAATCGCTGGAAACTTTGCGATACAAATGAAGTCGACGTGAACTAAGATGATGAATTTTGTTCGACAGTTTAATAACAGAGGATCGTCACGTCTCGTCCTTCTATAGTCTGAGACTGAGCGATCACTTCAATAAACCCGCTATTATCGAAAAGGGCAACAATTTAGACGATCTGATCAGAGGTTTCGCAACGCAGCCGCAAAGAGACGCCGATATATATTTCGATCAAGAGGTACGTATGGAAGACAAAACATTCGATCACTTCACTTTATGCGCGATTAATGCATTTTTTCCTGCATGTCAAACACATCGACGATAAAGATCTTTTTTTTTTCCTTTCAAAGGAGAAGAAAACAAAGTATGATACGTTAGAGGATCAGTTATAACGAAAACACACGTATTTGCAGATAACGCAGTATCTCTTCAGGAGAGGACGAACCCTCGGCTCTGATCTGCGAGCGATAGACATACAAAGAGATCGCGACCACGGACTCGCTTCCTACAACGATTTTCGCGAATATTGCGGACTACCACGGGCGGAGGATTTCATGGATTTCGCCGACTATATCTCGTTTGCGGTAAGTAGGACGGACTACTAGACGAGCAAGGTACGCACACGTCTGCTACACTGAAAATCAATTTCATCTTTAGGATATACAGAAACTCTCGATATTGTATGCTAGTCCGGACGATGTCGAATTGACCGTCGCTGGATCTTTGGAAAGACATATCACCGGCACATTAGCCGGACCGACGTTCTTATGCATCATGACGAGACAGTTTCAGCAGACACGAATCGGTGATCGTTACTGGTTCGAAACCAATGACCCGGAAATAGCTTTCACACTAGGTACGTTAGCGGCACATATAAATCATAACAAATATTATACAACACAATGAACGTCGATGATCGGAAAATTAATTTCATGATTATTCGAAAGAATTAAATACAGAAAATATGATAAACTCAAATAGACGGTTACACATATACGTATTAAGATAAAATCGTCAAAATTTCGATGCAATTTAATCATCAGAGTAAAGCGAAATTCGATCAACAAATGATGTATTATTGTATCGTACGATTGTCAATGCCCGTATAAATAATATTGTCTTTACAGAGCAACTGTACGAGATACGAAAGTCGAGTATATCGCGACTACTTTGCGACAACGGACATCATATTCAGCACATGCAGAGAGCAGGGTTTCAACAGCCCACCAAAATGTAAGTTTAATCGATCGTTAGTCTTACTTTCACCGTTTCCGTAATCGAAATCAATTTCAGGAATCCAATTTTGAGCTGTAACGAATTACCGCAAATGGATCTCTCGTACTGGAAGGATTATGGTCCGAATACTCGTGATTCTACCTATCAATATATCGCGAGTCCGCAATATAAAAAGTAACAGACAAACTTCCGACAACCCATCTATGTTACCGAGAATACCAAAAAGAATCGTGCTTGCTTTCGCGAAATAGTAATAGTATTGCCAATGAAACGAAACTTTTATACGCACGATATATCGCGTCATACTTTTATGAGAATGCAACAAGTTGTAAGTAGGTATACCGTTGCCTTTCTACAATTTTTTACGTCTTTACAATGCCTTAATAATGCTCAAATGATAAAATTACATTTTCGTTTGTCAAGACAAAAATTTGACGAAAGTCAAACCTTCGTTATTCTATATGTCGCTGGAGAAGATTCTCAAACAATGATGATTTGGACAGTTTTTTAGGTCAATTCAGACTGCAACGCAACAAAATATACATCTAATCGTTCCTTCAAAAAAGCGGATAAATACACACTCTCGCGACATTAATTGATCGAAAAATAATCAAGATGAGCTCATCAATATTCAGTGTTTCCTTTATATCGTCAATCGAAACAGATAATTGCAACATTATTATTATTATTACTATAAAAGTAACAATGATATATCGATCTGTAGTTTACGATGTGTATAGTAGATAAACATACTATTAATAGGCAACATTTACATATTGCATAAAAATTGTGGCACGCATAATTAATAATGATTATCTCATAAAAATATCGACAAATCGATTTATTTACGATTAAAAGAAGATAAAATGTTTAGTGAATAATGCCACATTTCATTTTAACAAAACATTATTGAAAGGTACTTGATAATAGATAAGCATACTTGTACATATGTGTCCATGTACAGTAAAAAGTAACATATAAGTAAGTTCTACGTTCATTAAAGTCCAAGGAGACTTTGTTGAATATAATTTCTACTTATGAGTTGCGATTGTTCGTATATATCACAAGAGTAAAATTTGAATGGCATACAGTAGACACTATTTGCGTTATTCAAGATGCAAGTTATTTTGTACGATAAAAGTACAAGTAAGCGACTATTAACAGAACAATCATAAATATTATGCAAAATAAATATTATGCAAAAAGTATGCATATCCCAATATCATGCATATTAGTTATTAGTATTTTTATTAAAATATAAGAAATTATAATCTCATTTTTTCTCATAAAGATATGCGCCATTTTTTGACTTTTCAATTTCCTACATCTGTACATTGCATCTGTGCTTGAATATCGACTAAACAATAAAGTTTCTTCTTTGTTTGTCAAAACTCCAAAAAGTGTTCGTTATCCTGTTATGCAAGTGTTTCACACATTCCGGTACTGTTGTATGCTGAAGAAAATCTTCAAACAACGGTCGTTTGAATAGTCTCCTAGCTTCTAACTGTTGATCTGCAGTTACTTTACTATCGTCCAAATGTACCAGCCTTGGAAACCAGGATATCACAAACAACCTATTTGGAAAGTTTGACAAAATTTAGCTAGCAGATAAGCTGACAGGCAGGTGAGATTCGATTGCTTATTATATTATCATACCTGTATTGAAGATAATCGTAAGTGCTTCCATCATTGAGGTAACTGGGTGCTGCATTATTTCCCATAAGACACAAGTACTTGAGGTTTGGTAAGCTCTTATGGAGATTCTTAATAAAAGGGTACAAGTTGTCTATGCCATTGTGATTTAACCAGAGAAGTTCGAGTTGCGGCATATATGGAAACACAGTGTGCTCATCTATAATATTGTGGTCTAAGTTGAGGGAAGTTAGATGGTCAAATTCCAACAAGAACTGTAGATTCCTGAAACAGCAAAAAACTTCCATCTCAACTCTGCTATATACACTAGATTTTCTATTCCTTCAAAAGTCTTCTTCTCTTGTATATGTTTCTTAACACCTGTGTATGCACTTACCTGCTAAACTTGTTATAACTGATATCTAAAGTATTTATGGCGATACTGTGTCTCTCTATTATGTCAAGAGGCATGTATAAAAGATTTTCATACGCAAGCGACAAGGAATCTGTACATTCTGCAGATAAATCATCCTGAGTCAATGCTCTCCTTGATGAATCTTTGATGTATCTTTGATGAATATCCCCAAATACCAATTTCCCCAAAGAAGTCATGATAGACTTTTGCTCTTCATTTATTGGTATTACATATTTCACTTCATTGGCATAGATTCTAGGCCTGTGTGTGTAATAAATGTAATATAATGGGCAATACACAAAAGAAGGTGCATGTATCTATAGTAGATTAAGCCAGTCCACAAGAACGATAACAAATTATTGTACAAATTGCACAATTACATAAAACAACACTATCGTGTATATTGAAGATCAAACATATCTATTTTTTGCATAACGTTTCAAAATCAAAGCAACACACATAAATGTTATAAATTTATCAACCTCTTATGAATCTACTAAAAAGTGCATGTCATTGTATTACACAAATGTTTCTCAACGTGCAAATACAAGGTTGTTAGAGCAAGATTTAAACTCTCAAGTATAAAAGCGAAGCAACTCGAGAATTATAATTAGTAATCAGCTGCAAAAAAAGCTTGCGCTATCAAATAACTTACAGATAAAGAGACAGAGATAACAAAAAGCACAAATATAATCTGCAAGTAAATATTCTACTCACATTGCTCTCACTTTGAGAGTACCTTACGAAGACAAAAATTTAACAGAAGAACCGAAATATTCTACACTCTCCTCACTCTGTACATGCATCGACAAGCCTGAACCAGCCATCTAAGCCTGGTAGCGGATAGTATCGCACGGATGAGCGACGGTTCAAGCAGGAAGATTGATTTTCGCATGAAACGATTGTCGCACTCATAGCTACTTGTCGCACGAGATAACTCGCACTGGGATTCGACTTCGACAACCAGGTGAAGTTATCACATATCAGAATGGTGTACGATAAGATACGGAGATCGAAGAGTTAGTTAAAAATATCGCAAAAAAATATCCGAAATACATTGCCAAGTCGCCATACAGTTAGGCCGTGTTAAGGTTAGACTGTTTCGAGGTTAGGCCATTTGACAGACGTTTAGCCATAATATAAGCACGCATGATTAGAAAATTGCATTGCAATAATATTTGGCGCACACTTGTTATGTGATAAACTCACCGTAACTTCGAGCTGTATTCCCCTCGTGATCTCTTCAAATTTTCTCACATTATCTTATTTTCGAATCTTCCCACCGACAACACTGCCGACACTCACAACGTGCTTTTATTTGCGACTACGAGATGGCGCCACTATGATGCTAACGTCATGGCTAAGGGCGCGGTCCAACAACCGCTACAAATGCTGCGCAGCGTTTCTCCCTCTTGTTCTATTCCTCGGATTCGAATGAAGAAAGAGAAAGAAGTAAAAACGCCACAAAACATTTGCAGCGCCCGCTGGACCGTACTCTAGATTTGCCAGTTGGATATAACTGTAAAGACGCATGATGCATTTTCTTTCCAAATAAAAAATAATGACTAACTTGTGCCAATTAGATACAAAAATGTCAACTTACGCACGCGTACGGGGGGGAGGGAGAGAGAGAGAGAAACCTTATTTTCTATTGTTAAACTGATTGCACTAGTTCTTTTTCATCTTTCTTCTACCAAACTTTATCTGTCTCTTTTTAAGTTCTAAAAGTGTACACTAGCTCAGCAATAGAAAACAGATCTCATGAAAGAAAGAGAGAGAAATGAAATATATAACACATATAATTGCACAAAATATAATGCCTAGATTCGCTCACCATACGACAGCTCGACCACACTGCACGGCTCGACAAGTCCATTCGATAGAAAAAATGCTGTAAATTTAAACCCTTAACGACACAAGGAAGTTTATAAGTTCATTTCTCCACCCGTATCCCTTGTACTGTCTTCCCTTTTCTCTTCGAGCACACATTTGTCTGATATCGTTTATTACAACACGTTGAATGGCACAAAATCGTAATCGAGAGTTCATTTTTCACCGGCAACGACGACACCGAATAGAGGACAATAGTGCGCTTTGTACAATTATCGAGAGAACTCAAATCGGCCGATCACTACGTACACTCTGATCCACACGTCGCGACTAATATGTATCACGAAATTCGGCACTCCCGCGAATATTTGTGCGCGATAGAATTCGTTTCCGACGCGGACGAACGCACGAGAAAATGCAAAGCGGTCTCACCAACGGCGGACATGACATTAACGTCCCGAAAACGAATTACCATTGCAATCAAATATAAATTTTATAATCTCGACGACACTTGATCTCAATTATCTTGATGCTTCCAATTTCGATACTATCTCATTGCAATTAAATTTAGATTATGTCAATTAATTAATTTGGAGGTGACAATAATATTTTTATATCCGTTATTACCGTTTATCGACCGATCGGCTGGCGCGCTGCAAGCACATTTGACTCACATAGTAACTTTGAATCCGCCAATTCCAGTGGCGCCCAAATTTCTTTCCTGTACTATCAGCTACGGTGTTTTGCGTTGGTCACGTATTTTCCATATATTTTTCCTGTTGAGGGCGTGAACCGCTTATTAATTGCTGCCGAAATAATGCCGAACATACGATACTAGACGCTCGTGAAAAGGAGCACGCCAACAGAGATGAGTACGAGCTCAGCTCTTCCGTCCATAAGGAGGAGAGAAGAAGAAGAAAAGCAGCGCTGAATCCAGTACGTCGCCGTGAGTAAATATTATATGGCATGTTAGACCGTGTATAATCTATATAGAAAATTGTATTTATAGAAATATATCTCATTTTTTTGCAAAAAAACGATTATCGTAACAAGGAATGTGTATCCTTTCTATCATAAAGATAAACAAACTTTTCACGTAGTGTCGAAATTGTGTGCATATCGTGCGTGCGTGTGTATGTGTGTAATTCTTGTATTCTAATATTCGCTATAACTAATACGTGTAACTGAATACGTATGTCAACATTGTGACATAACCTAACAAACCATAAACATTGCGATATTTACTTTCATACCGTGTAGATATGTTTAGACACGATCAGTGATTTTTTTTAGAAAATACCTTGGAATTCTTTCCGAAGAATATATATTTGGGAATAGAGATTTGTGAAAGGATTAAGAGAAAATATATTGGAAGAAGAAGACAGCGTGCCAAATAAATATCCTCGGGGAAGGCTGAAGGCACGGTGACGTAGTCGCCAATCAAAAGAAAAAAAAAAATATTGCGATATCACTATTGGTTATTCGTTCCGTTCATTCATACTCTAACGTAACATATTATTGAAATAATCAACCGGCCGAAACAATCGGTTGTCAGCCGGCGTCACTTATCACTGAGCATCGAGAACACGACAATCAAAACATTGCTAGCCTTGAAGGTTGTCAAGCGTACTTCTGTACGTCGCGTAGTCTGCTGAATATTCTCATTGGCTGCGTTCAGCAGAGAAAGCTGCTTTGTAACTGTTGTAAAATTCGTGAATCTGATTGAAGTATGTTCTTAATTTTGGTTGAATCCAAGAGCATGTACCAATCAGATTCATGAATTTTACAACAGTTGCAAAGCAGCTTTCTCTGCTGAATTCAGCCATTATGTTTCGGACTGGCGAACGACATGTATATCACGATTACACGTATCGGTATATCATCAATTTCGTTAAACGAATAAAATATTTCCTTGAAATACTTATATGGTGCTCTCGCCGATATTGCGTTATTTAACACATATGTCTTGTTGTCAGTGTCACGATGGAGCAGCCAGGGTGGAGAACGCAAAACGCCAGAAGACAGTGATGCATTATGTATTTCCAAAGTACGTCAATTTATTATATATGGGAGGTTCTTCCAATCACAATGGACGTTTGACAAACTTACTGAAAATAAAGAGATACCAGTGTCGAAATTCAGGCCAGCATTTATGTATATATAATCTCAGTCATTATTTAACAAATAAATATAGTTTTATTAATCTCCGACTATTTGTCAAGCTGCATCTGTACTCATTATATTATTTTATGTATCGTATCTTGTGTCTTTGATATTTCTGTGCTAAATGCTTGCATATTCTTGATTTGTCAAAATTGAATAACTTCTTTGATTGATAACTGGGTAAAATAACTATGCAAAATTTGATCCAGATCAGTCAAAAGGTTTAAGGGTATATAGAAAACAGACAAATAGATATTTTTATTATATAGATTACTAACTAGGAAAATTGTCCTTATTTTAGATTTGGAAGATGTTGCAGATGTAATGAGAGAGAAAGCGGACGTGGATGCCGTACCGGAGGAGCCGGTTCAGGCCAAACAAGGTCAATATTCATAGGTAAGTTTATAAGAGTTTTGGATAATCCTTCGTTTAATTCTTAGCGATCTAAAGTTGAGATATAATTATCGTGAATCCAATCAACAAATGTCTATTTTTTTTTTGTTCTAGGTTCGTGACCGACCCTAAGTTCGAGATGTTTCCGGTGAGTGAAAAACAAAAAGGGATTTAAGGTGATGGGTCTGTAGCAATTCAATGACTAGTCGAATGCAATTTATTTTATGTCTCTAATCCACCTTTTATGAAATATAAGGTTGTAAGATTTGCTTATATGAAGAATTTATCATAGAATACTTTTTTTTTAGACGTCGATAAATTTAAATGTGTGTCAAGGTATGTCCCGACATGTCCGTATTATGTACATATATCTCAACGCATACAGATATTAAAAACGAAAAGTGTTATTTTGGAATTTGTAAGGGTAATAACGGAACTATAATATTAACTCGGGTATTTTCTATATGATTTATTAAATATTCTATCTTGATAATAATAATTCTCTTAGATTTATTAGATATTCTATCTTGATAATAATAATTCTCTCTGACAATTTCTCTAAATTCACATTGCACACGAATTGTACAAATTTACAATACGTATTACGCTAACACAGCGTGTATAACTTACTTACTATTTATGAGTATTGCGGAATACTTTGTCTTTCTAGCGGAATATATATATTTTTAATGAAAGAGGATATGTGTGTCACAATTTCAAGTTTTATACAGTATATATATTTCATATTTCTCGTCAATTTTTTCATGTATAGGAGAGAAAGGGATATACTACGATATTTATATGATATATTCCTGTATACACATATGCACTTATATGAACGGGAATAATACATACATGTCTATTACAACAAGTTATACAAGCATGCTTTGCTTCTTTCGACACAAAACCCACATATATGTGATCGCAGACACAGATTAAGATACTTTAATCCTTTCTTCGCGCAAAGGCACAGAACAATTATTTATACACTAAAATTATGAAAATGAAATATCGAAAGTGGCATTCACGCGCGCAAAGTTAGATCTTTTCAAAGAGGAAACATTGATAAAAACTTGTTTAACATATGAGATAAATTAAAATTACACATCATTTTTAATCGTATTATTATCTTTTTGTCGTAATAAATGAATATGCACGTGGATTGTAAATAATATAGTAAAAATAATCGGCCAATTTATAATTATTTTGTCGTTGCGTGTGACTGTTCGAAATTATCAAACCGAAATGAAATGCGTAAAGTATCTTATACAAACGGAAATCTTTTCCTTTCTTTCTTTCTCTTTGTTCACACTCTGTTGATTGTTTCTCTAAGATTAAATGTATCATTTAATCCTTGCCTGCGTATTATCAATTGACAAAGAATGTTTCATTACATCCATATATTTCTCTCTAGTTTATAGCCGCGTCGTATGTTCGTTTAAAGATCGTTATGACTTATGACGGATAAAAGTTTAGCAATTATTCGTTAACATTCACTTTCTAACGAGTACGGAAAATATTTGCTTTATTGTTATTTACATACTCGGTGGGGAACGTAGTGCTGTTTCGATATGGTACGTTACGTTTGTATCTTTACGGGCAGTGATCGATAATTAAAAAGAATCTAAAGAATATAATCTTTCTAACTTGAAGCATTGTATTAACTTTATATGCAATCAATTTTTGTTAATTGGAATCAACATAAAAATATATTTATTACATTTCCACATTTTCCGCAAATTATTCGATCGCTCATATAATTCAGTTCACGCTCATTATTGTAACAATCGTTAATTTTTAGAAAGAAAAAAAGAAAGAAATACCCAATTAATTTCGTACACATTATTGACGAATATATTCCTAATTACATAATTTATGAATATAATGACACAAGCACGATAATATCGATCACGACGAAACTCTCATAGCAAAATTTATAATATAGTGCAATCAGAGCGATAAAGTATCGATACGGCAAAGTTAATCGTTTGTAGATCGAATCACCGTTTATACAAAATGCGTTCTCCCGCTCGATGTGCAAATACGCTCGATGTGATTCAATTTACGACACGAAACGCGGTGTAACGACGACCACAATTCTGCATACTCGTCGTTACACAATGAAGAGTCGTTAATCGAACGAGCGCGTGTTTGTCGATTTCCTTCGCCGTCTCTTCCGTGCGGTCTCTTTTTTTCTTCTCAGACTTTGTGTAGCGTTGACTTTTCGCGGCAATTAATTTTTTGAGTGCTGTGGACACATGTACGCGTGTTTAACGAATTTCTTCGGCCTATACAAGTAACGGTTATAAACTATTACGATGGGCACTTGTGTTCTTTTTGCGTATCTGAGCGACGCTGATAAATTAGATTTTATTTATTTCTGCCCATTGATTTGGATTTTTCGAAATGTTAATTTTTTCACAGATTTTGACTTACAACAATCCAAAAATATTTCTTTCCTAGCACTTATTTAGCTTTCACATGCTACACACTCAAAGAGTTAAAATTTTCTTGTCGATGCTGCGAAAATGACGCGATTATTCCCGAAATCGACATAAGTAGAACAATATCTGCGGAACTTGTGGGATTAAAGATGAAAGGAAAGAGGTTTTCATTGTACTCACAATTGAAGACGGCTAGAGAAAGTGGCTGTCAGGAAACGAAACAACACATGGTGTTTTCGAAAAAGACGGAAAGTAAAGAGAAGGAAGGGAATAGCACGAGTGCGCACGTTTGGCGTGGGCACTGTGTGTGTTTGTTTTCAATTCTCAAAATATCTTTCTCAGACCGTGCACATCGAAGGGAAATCTCTCCTTTTCTCTCTATTTCTCTCTCTCTCTCTCTCTCTATATATATATATATATCTATCTATCTATCTATCTATCTATCTCTATCTCATGTATCGAAACAGCATAACCGCTTTTATAATTTTTGCAAGGGCATTTATTTACACGCTACGTGGTGTAATTAGCTTTTCGGTGGCGATTGAAAGAAGAGAGAGGAGATATATGCCATAATGATAAATAGATACGTGAACACGTGTTCACTGCGAAATATTTAGCATACGGGTAAATTAACGTATCTTTCACGGATCCCACAGGATATTTCAATCTTGGCGTTAAAAGTGTAAAGAGAAGCTGGCAAGTTTCGAAATTGGCAATTTGGGAAATCTATTGCAAGTATTGTCAAAGTAATATTGGATCGCACGAAAACGCGGCAACGAAAGAAAAAGCTGTAACGTAAATTCCTCCCATTCTGTTCTGCCAGTCCTGTGTTTTGATTTGCACCAGTCGATTGCAGACGCAATAAAAGTGCTTAGCAACGCGATAGATAAATCTGCAAACGTAAGCCGTTTTTGTGAAGTTTCTACTGTACTCGACTGCGAAATTCACTTTGCATGGAGACGAAAAAATGTAATTTGCGCACACGACCGCACGCGATTGCACAAACCAAATAACGACAAAGAATAAGAGGAGCATTAATATAAAGTTCTTTCTCAGTTGTTTCGTGTTCACAGTTACATTCATTAATTCAGTATGAGTACACGGGCGAGTGGTAAACGAAATATAGAGTTTTTCTAGTAGATTAACAGAGCTACGGTTACATACCTTTTTAGCGCGGATGTCATAGAGTTATTACATAAAATAACAATTTGCCACGAAAATACATGCACGCCTTTTCAATCTCATAGGGTGGCGAAGTTAGAAAGAAGTCTTTCCGAATATAAAGTTACCAGGTACGTTCGGGTCGTCGGAGCAGAAATATTGCTTCCACAGATCGGCGAATTTCTCGCGAGTCACTTCCTGGCCCTGCGGAGAAGTAAACAATTTTAGACTAGTGAAACTCGGTACACGCAGCGCGCGCGATTTCATCTTTCCTCTTTTGCTCCTCGTTTATTTCCTTTTTTTCTTTCAAAATCGATCGATACTCACCACCTCCAATTTCTTGAATGCCTCGCGTGCCTCGGCCTCCTCGACACCGTGACTGCCGCACACCTTGCTGAATTCGGTCTCGTCGATCGATCCGTCACCTGACAACAAAAGATCGCGCTCTCGAGTTTCAAACTCGCATCATGTGTGTCTCGGTGAGGGTAAATCGCTGGGAAATTTCGGTGTACAAGGATGACGTATTATTAGAAATTGGCATGAATGAATAATAAGGGAACGAATGGTATGCTTAATTGATAATTATCATCTCTTCGTGAGGAGGTGTGGAGGCTCGGTCGATATTTATATTCTTATCTATAAAATACGTTTACTTGTACGCTAAAAATAAAGATAGCGTAAATTATACGAGAAACAGTACGATATTTTCGCGGGGGATCTCGCGTCGTACGTTACCCATTGAAGAGGCGAAACGAAAGGAGACTTTCGAATACAATGCGATATCAAAATGAAAAGATGATTCCCTCCTAATCATACACTCTCGGCTCGAGAATCGTTTCCGTCGCGCAGCGCGAGCTCGCGAAGACTCACCCGAAGAATCCTCGAGATCGAACATGAAGTTCATGTATGTCTGTTGCCATTCGAGTGCATGTGCCGGATCTTTCGCATACTCTTCCCACATCGAGTACCACTCGTCTCGGCTGATCTGAAAGAGAGATGCAAGACCGTTAATATCGCGCTCACGTGTCCGCCTCTGATCGGCAAGCCGTGTCTCCTCTGTGTTTCCTGTGTGTGCCTGCGTCTCGTTTTAAATTTTAATCGAGAGTTACGGGTATACATCGCAGAATATTCCTTCAGCTTGCTGAGTGATACGCAAACGCAAACATCCGACAAGTTATTTTAGGACGCATCCAAACGCAAAAAAACGTTTTAAAAATCGATAAACGCAGGCGGAATGTGGAACGAAGGTATGCTAAAGATTCACAAAGTTCTTTCGGAGACTGAAGAAA